TTTGGTTGAATTGGAACAGGAGCTATTCGATGGGATGTCCTTTTAAGAGGGGCCACTATAAAATGAGCCATGCATATGCCAAAGCATTCTCAGAACATAGAGTTTCACATCTGAGAACCAAGTTATGTGAATTGACAATATTCTGCTTTGACAGAGAGCACAGGACAAATTTACCATTAGGTATAGCAGGGGAGAAAAACCCAAGTCGAATCTAGTATAATCCCCTATTATCTTCAAACATCTCACCAACTACCCTGGGACTGCTATAAGCCCTTTCTCCATCCTATTATGTATATCTAAAACTAGAACACAAATGAACCACTCATATACTTCTGTTTGCCTCATCAATTCTACACCTTTAGAAAAATAGATCGTTTTACATTCCTTTCAGCACTGGAGAATGGTTCACATTTTTCGAAAAACATATATCTATTTCTTAGCATATGTGCATAGTGAATTCCCAGCAGGATACTGGCTGACCCTCTACATTTTCCCTTTCCAAGGAGAGGGGAAATATTCCATCCTAACTCCACAGGAATTCTCATGGAATTGCATCAAATGAGAATCTCAGTCTGTGTAATTAAAAATTATAATAATCCATTCATAATCCATAATAGGTTTGAAGATACCTTCACAGATTCATGATTTTACAACTGTGGGACGTAAACTCTTCTTTTTCTCATGCATTTTCTTCAACAGAATTACACCTGGAAATTTCATCTTCAAATTTACCAGAAAAGGGACTCAAATCTGAACCTTTTTTTTTGCAGAGAATTAAATAGCAGAGAGGCAGTCCTAAAATGTGGAAAAGTGTCCCCCAGATCTGTATTCTGATCCCAGGTATCCTGAAATAGCCCAGTGAGCTGGCACCGACAAACCAAGTGAATTTTTCCCCCTAAATGTTCTCAGGTAAATCACAACACAAAACGAACACTGATAGCTGTCATCTGAAAGCACAAAAATGACCCAACTGCATCACCATATGCACCGCAAATGAGAGTGGATGAATAAAGACAACTGCACGAACCAGGGACTCTAAATTTTTAAAAGTATTCCCATTGGCTCCTAGAACATTATAATACATCCCATTGGCCAACGAAGGCTCATTAAGCCTTGGCTCTGATATGTACCCAACCTTCTTAAAAACTTTTCAGACTTGGTACATTTTCAAACTCCTTGGCCAGTAAGAAGTAGAACATGTGAGCAGAGATAAAGGATGCCAAAATGACTACAAAGGGCAGATAAAAATTAAAATTAAAAACAGCCACTAGCAAACACCCAAAAAGCAACCACCCACAGCTGAAAGAAACTCTTTGATCTGGCAGCCCAAGTAGCAACAGTATTTATATAGAGTGGCAAGCATGGCACCCAAAATATTAAACTCCCATTGGGCCAGCTGAATTATAACATCAGCTGAAATGCTTTTTTTTTTAATACTTATTGTTTTCTTGAGATAAAATCTACCCTTTTAGAGAAACAAATATAAGACATCAAAAGATAGGATGTATGAAGGTCCAACTCTTTTTCCTGCCACTGACTAGCACTCTCCTACAGAAGCCAGGGAGCCAAGATACTTGGTAATTCACCTGAAGAGAAGAGAAATTTAAGATGGTATGCCACACTGAATAAGAGGCTCTTGGTTCAAATCCTACCTCTTAGTGACCTTGGGCAGGTCATTTACTCTCTAGTTCCCAGTTTCCTCAAATATAAAATGAAAAAGTTGGACTGCCTGACTAAGATCTATTCAAGTGATACATCCTACGCCACTGTCAACCATATCCCTTACTGCCTGATAGAAACAGCTCCCAAACTTAAAATACTGAAGGTCTACTCTAAGAAACATAATTCTGCCTTTTCCCATAGGCAATAGTAAAATTATTCATTCTAAAAATCATCTCTTCAGGACATCATCAATATGTTTCCTGGGGCCAGAGGACAATGCCTACAGGATAAAGTATGAATTCCTTACATTGGTATTGAATGTCCTTTCCAATCAGGTCCTAACTTTTCTTTCGACTTTATCTGCCATTCTTCCCTTACACGACATTCAGGTAAATTCGGCTACTCACAGGCCATTCAACAAACACACGGTTTTTGGTTACTCTGGTGCCTTCTCACCTGCTTCTTGGATCACGTGTTTTCTTTCTTAATCAATCATCATTAGGGGTCTACCATATGTAGGTAATGGAAATACAGAGGCCAAAAAAAAAAAAAAAAGCTCCAGCCATCAGGGAATTTACATTCTATGAGAGGCAGCTGGTGGAGCAGTGGATAGAGTGCTGGGCCTAGAGTCAGTAAGACCTGAGTTCAAATTTAGCCTCAGACACTCATTATCTGTGTGACCCTGGGCAAGTCACTTAACCTCTGTTTCCTCAAATGTAAAATGAGAATAATAATAGTAGCCCACCCTGCCGGGTTGCTGTGAGGAGCACAGTCCCTGACACAAAGAAGGCACTATACAAATGCTCATTCCCTTCCCCTTTCCCCGTTCCCAACTGGAGAGCGATAATATTAACACAGGCAAGTAAATACAAAGACTATATACATTCCTGTGGAGGCAATGAAGAGCCCCACCTCTGGATCCAGAGGAAAGGAGCACAGAGCCCACTGCTAATGATGACCAGTCACTTTGCATCTGTAGCCTCAGTTTCCTAATCTGCAAAATGGGAAGGTAGGACTAGCTAGCCTCTGGGGGTCCCTTCTGGTCTTAGCTCTCACACCACAGCATCCCAATTCAAAGTAATGTAACTGGGAGTTAGGGGGAGGGAAATGGAGGCCTTGTGTGGAAGGGGGCACCACAGCAGGGCTTGGAAGAGGGAGTCTCCTGCAGCAGAGGGGAGAAGGGAGCACTTCCAGGCAGGGAGGATCCTGTATTCACAAGCCCAGAGGCAGGAGAAAGAACAGGGAGCAGACCAGTCTGACTGGAATTCATAATGCATGAAGGGAAATGATATAGACAGCCTGCCTTCATCCATCCTGCCTTCTGGTCTGGATTGCACTGACCTTTCAACCAAGCATTAAGCTTTTCATCAGCACTTGCTGTGTGCACAGAAGACTTCTAAACATTGATGATACACAGACAAAAAGAGGGAGCCCTGCCCTCAAGAAGCTTACAATCTAGCAAGCTAAGACCCACCTGGAATCCTACCTTCCCAGGATGGCCTTTCCTGAGCATCTCAGCTGCAGTCTGAACTCATCTTTCCCATACCTAAACAGAGGAAAGGGAAAGGGAAAGAGAGGAGAGAGAGAGAGAGAAGGGGGAGAGAGAGAGGAGAGAGAGAGAGAAGGGAGAGGGAAAGGAGAGATAGAAGAGAGGGGAAGGGGAGGGAGGGGAAGGGGAAGGGGAGGGGAGAGGAGAGAGGGGAAAGAAGGGAAGGGAGAGGAGAAGGACAGGGAAGGGGAGGGGAGGAATGGGGGAGGGGAGGAGAGGGAAGAGAAAGGGGAGGGAAAGGAAGGGAAGGGGAGAGGGGAAAGAGAGGGAGGGGGAGAGGGGAGGAAGAGGAAGAGGGAGAGGAAAGTAGAGAGGAAAGAGAGGGAGAGGGGTGAGGGGAGGGACAGAGGAAGAGGGAGAGGAGAGGAGAGAGGGAGGGGGAGGAGAGAGGAGGGAGGGGGAGAGGGCACACATCTGCCAGCTCGCACAACAACCCAAGAGGCCTGGGAATTGGACAGCCCTGATAATCAGCCACCTCCTCTGGCCATTCTTTACAGCAGCAGCCGGTGTCGTTTGTTATCTTTTAGTGTTCACACACAGCCCGTCTCCCTGGAGGGTCACCTCTTTGGGGACAGTGACTTTGGCACCTACACAGTGTCTGTGTACAGCAGGTGTTCGATAAATCTCTGGCCATTGACTGATTGCCCTGGGTGCTCTGGGAAATACCTAGGCAGTGGAAAACATCACCCTACACTCAGGTGCTACACGGAAAACATGGAATCTTGGGACGCAGCATAAAACAGTACACAAGGAGTTTGGATACAGAAGGCTTGGATCTGATACCGAATTACCTGGATGACCCATTTATCTCTTTGGGGCCTCAGTTTCCTCTTTTATAAAATAAGGAGGTTTGACTATATGATCTCCAAAGCCCTTTCTAGCTCTGAATCCTAGGATCTGAAAACCCCAAGCCACTTAGACATTAGACAGGATGAGGAGGCAGAGGGAGGCTCCTTTTGGGGGACCTGACTTTTTCCATTCTGCCCAAGTCAGTTATTTGACCACAGTCTACTTCTGTTCCTCCACCTATGAAAAAGATATAGCTAACATTTATAGAGCACCTACTATGTGCCAGCCATTGTGCAAAGCACTTTACAAGCATTATTTCAGTTGATCCTCACAACTCTGAGAGGTGTTGTTGTTATATCACTTTCAGTTGTGTCCAACTCTTTCGCAGCCCCATTTGGGGTTTTCTTCACATATACTGGAGTGGTTTGTCATTTCCTTCTCCAGCTCATTTTACAGATGAGGAAACTGAGGCAAACAGGGTGAAGTGACTTGCCCAGGGTCACACAGCTAGGAAGTGTCTGAGACCGGATTTGAATTCAAGAAGATGGGTCTTCCTGACTCCAGGCCTGGCATTCTATCCACTGTGTCACCTAGCTGGGAGGTGGAATGTTATTATTATCCCCACTTTCCAGATAAAGAAACTAAGACAAATAGAGGTTAAATGATTTGCCCAGGGTCACACCTGTAGTAAGCGGATGAGGTCAGATTTTAACTCAGGTCTTCCTGACTCTGCGCCCAATACTCTATCGATTGTACCTCTTAGTTTTTATTTTCTCTATACCTATTTTATAAGGGTAGTAGGATGGAAGGGGGAGAATGGTAGAGAAAACTGTAGCTTAATCCTCTTCTAAACTTAGATATTAATTAAATGTTTTCTTATATTAAATATCATGAAATAATATTCTTAAACTTTACTGAAATCTAATTTAGTATTATCGAGGCAGAAGAGGTGAAAAGAGAATATGATAAATTCTCAATTATCTGTGAGTGCATTACCCACTTTCTCTGTTAGCCATGGCAAATCCTTAATTTCACACTGGTTTCTCCTGGTGCCCCCTTTGGTGGATTCTTGACAATCTCCCACTTCTGTCAGGAGCTGTGGGCAAGGGCAAATCACAGTTATTTTAATAACACACTAAACACAAAACATAATTAGGAAACAAATTTACAGCAGCTGACATGCTCCTACACTGAGGTCCCTGATTTCTGGATAATCTGTTGTCTGGATTATGCACACACACCACAGCAGCCTCGTACGAGCAGAGCACTGATCATGGCTCAGTCGTCTTCATGTTCCCCCTCCTTGCACACCTATGTGCATCCACATGGGTGATGAAGGCAGAGATGTGACCGTCTTACAAAGAAGAGAAGGGGGCGGGTATGAGGTTTTGGCTGGGTCACTGCGGTTCACTACGCCACAGCAAGCTCCTGTGAAGGGGTCAGCTGGCACTGCCTGCTACCTGCCCATTACCCCTCTAAGCCAGTCAAAGCCACCCTCATTGGAGCTCATGAAGCTTCACTTCTCCCAGCTTTGGGACTGGAGAAGGAAACTCCTATCCCAGGAGCCACAAGAAGGACACAGCATAGAAGAGGCAGTGTGATGCAGTGGGAAAGGCCACTGGACTATGAATCAGAAAAGCTGGGTTCTGGTCCCCACCCTGCCCCCAAGTTGGTATGACCTTAGGCAACAACATTTAAACTGTCTGGGACTCAATTTCCTCATCTGTAAAATCAGAGGGTTGGACTCCATGAATTCCAAGGTCCCTTCCACTTCTCACCTTCTATGAATTATACTATCCAGGACATAAAACAAGGATTTATACCAATTAAAGGAATACAATCAATAATCTGATTATTTTATACATAGAGTCTAGATTTCATTGAAGTACATACATTTCTATCTTGGAACATGTCATGGTATTGTGGACAGAGGTCCAGTCTAGGAGTCAAGAAGATCTAGGTTTAAGTTCTGACCCTGACATATAATAGCTATATAACCACAGGCAAGTCATTTAATTTTTTTTGGTGCTCCTGAATGTCTACTGGTGGAGAGAGTTTCCACACTGGGAGTTCCTTAAGCCAATAAACTCACATCCAGACCAAATATAATACGAACTTCCATGTTTATTAAGGATAAGCTACTTTACTGATATTACCTCTCTACTAGCAAAGTGAAACATTATATAAGGAAAGCAATAACCTTTCTCACATAAAGGCAGCATGATACAGTAAAAGCTGTATCATGTTTGACTTTGAGTCAACAGAGACCCAAGTTTGAATCTCACTTCTAGCATTAGCTGAGTGACATAATCACTGCATATCGATAAACCTGTTTCCTCATGCATAGAAAATGGATAATACCAATTACAATAGTTTATTTACAGGGCTATGAAAAGCACTTTGCAAAATAATATTATTATTAAGGCTTGAAAGGTATGTATTCAAACAGATATTTACAGATACATCTATATGACAGATCTACATATATACTTTACACACACAATCACGTATAAATGTTAGTACAAGTCTGTCAAATTTTGATCATGTAAAATAACCTCAAAAAGAAGTCTAGAGACAAAGGAATATAGGAAAATATCAAAATACCTTTGATTACAAAAATAGCCCTTAGTTTTTAATCATCAAAATATTTACTTATCAGTCAAACTCAATATCATATTTGTACCTTGTATTTTATGAGGTCACAAAAGCCAACAACCCTAAAATGCATCTAGAATGTGGAAAAAGCCACTTTTTCTCCCCTCTACGATTTGTAGTTTTCATCCTCCTGTATCTCCTGTTTACTCATCTAACCTCAAGACTTTATTAGCTTTGTTAAATGATACTCCACATTTTAGTTGTTTTTTAGATCAGCATTACTAACCTATCAAGTCGCTAAAATGAAACTATTTCCATCATCGCTTGCATAGTTAAGTAGCAACAGCAAGGCTCTTGGGACACAACGAATTTTGCATGTGCTCACTTTCATGGAAGTAATTCAATGTTATAATAAACATGGCCACATAAAAGAGTATAGCCATATAAAATAACAAAGGGTGCAACCGATCTCCAAATAGGAACTATTCCATTCAGCAACTCCAAGGAAACAGTTCCTGAAGGTTATCAAAACAATGGAACGACTGTCCTGCCCGAGTCATGTTTTCCAAAGAATGAAGGAAGCTTCTTCTCCAGTCTCTGAGAAGAAACCCTGACTGATGTGTTAAAGAGTCCCAGAGCTCAGAAGGACCGAGTGCTCCCAGGGCACAGAGGGATAGGGTGTCTTCTCATCCATGACCTTGCCATCTCTCTGTGCAAGTGAAAATGGACTTCCTGGCAAAATGCAAATATGTTAAAAAAAAATACCCATGCCAATTAAGACACAAGTGTTCAAAGACATGAGGAGTAATTACAAATGTATTATTCATACCTAATTTACAAGATGTACTTCTTTCAGTAAAATATTAAACTGTTTACATGCAGTCAGGAAGACAATTTCCAAACTGTCCATGTTCTCCTATGAAGCAAGACCTATTAACCACCCAGCAGTTTCTGGGAGCCTTACAGTGAACACACACTATGCAGTAATCAGAAAATGTTTGACCTCCCATATCTACTTGACCCCACAGAAATGCAGACTCGCTTGCTATAAAATCCTAAACAATGGGGCAGACAAGGTCACAGGGTCAAAACAAGTATTAACAGGTCATTGTGCAGCCCACTTGGGAGCAATTACTTCTGGTCATGGCTAAGTGGACACTTGATTGAATACCACTAAGACAGCTCACATCCCACAGATAACAATCCTCACAGCGATTAAGAATTAAAGCCCCCATGATTCAGCCTTTATTACTCAAATGAACCTAACCATTCCATAAAAAACTCTGGGTATATGCATGATGCAAGGTCTAAATTGAAATGCCACCTCATTAAACAATAATATCTAATTTTATCTAAATGAATTTTCATGAAAGTACGCCACACAGCTCAGGAATTTTTAAAATGAATTATCACAAGTGATACATAATTTCACCAAAACTGCTGCACAAAAAAATTAGCTTTAGAGATGAAAGGAAACATCAATGTTGGATAAAACTCCTATGCCTCTGGGGCTTTAGATAGGGTTAAAAAGAAACGAAGGATTCTGGCAAAGCAACGTAGAAAGATTTCTATCAAATCAACAATTTCTGGTTAAGTCGGGCACTTTTACCCTGGACAGACAGAGAAGGGGGAAGAGGAGGAGGAGGAAGAAGAAGAGGAGGAAGAGGGGGAGACAGCAGCAGTGGCAGTGGGAGAATACAGGAAAATGGGGTAAAGGGGGAAGAAGAAAGCTAATGAAGCAGAAGCAACCCAGGAGCTGGGCCTGGTGGTGGCATGAAGGAAAAGTGCCTATTATTTTGCATGGGGCTTTAATTGAATAACTCTATATGACAGGACCTTTCCTTATAGAGTCACACAACTAGTAAGTGTTCAGAGGCATGATTCAAATATGGATCTCTTGATTCATCCAAATCTAGTAGTCAATTAAGTAAACACAAAGCATACAAAATGTAGACAAAAATCTTATCTTTAACAGCTACCTTAATAGAGTTTTCACTAAAAACTGTGATTATGAATCCAACCCCTCTTTTTAAGCTCTTACAATGGATTGAAATTTGGGGACTTTAGGCAGAAATAATCATGCTGAAAACATACTATGCCCCTTCCTAGCATCTCAAAAGGCAATAGACATTTTTTGTAAATTTCAAGTCCATTCTTTATTTCATCAAAAGGTGAAATGATGCTGTGAAGAGCAAGGAAATAAATAGTGTCATTGTGAGGTTACCACATGTGTTTGTGGGGGGTGAAGCATAGAACAAGAGCTCACTGAATTAAAATGCGAGTCATAGTTGAAAGGAAAAAAATGTGCAACAGAGTTAAAAAAAAAACACCTTCATATGCACATAGGTCCGTCCACACTGTGACCATGGATTCAGAAGTGGATCTCCTACTGGGAACACGGCTTTTAAAACTCAAAAGACTTTGGTCGGCCATTTGCTGTTTCATCCTGTAGTATGATCCTTCATTCACATTGTCTGCTTTAAAATGAAATTGGTTTCATCTGGCAATAGAGCCTGCTATACATATGTGCTGATTTTTTCTGCCTCTAAATATTCTTTTCTAAGGGTTATTTATAGTAATACTCTAACAATGATAGAGTCAAAATTGGGGTTATTAAAAGAAGATTTTTTGGATGCTTCAAAGATATAAAAAATCGAAGAAAAGACCAAAAAAGGTGGTGTGTGTGTGTGTGTGTGTTTAAAAACAAAAGTGCACACCCAAAATGCAGCTGCCCAACAATATAGACACTGTTGTGGTTTCTTTTTCATTCTTTTTATAAAAACATGTTTGTGATTTCACCTCCCAGCCCTTGCCCAGTGTTAAATAAAAACAACTTCAGTATACTGCTGACAAACAGGTAATACAAGTAGAAACATTCCCACACATCTAAGCCCTCTGCTCAGGGGAAAAAAATTCAAGTGAAAAATTTCCCCGAAGTCAAGTAAATAGCTTCCTTCCCAAGGAGAATGTACAATGCATAGCAAAACACAATTCAATTTAAACATCCTTTTTTAAAAAAGTACCCAATTATGTACTTGCCTAAATTGAACTATCAAGAGATTTGATTGACTTCTTCAGAGCTAAGATCATCATGTAAACACACGTAGCTGTGACAAATAGTGTTTGACCTCCCAGGGACCTAAAATATAAGTTTCAATACCCAAGCACCCAGAGCTAAGTGTTCCTTAAAAACAATAACACCGGCCACAAAGGTCAGAACGGAACTGAAAGAGATAATCTGACCCATTTACCTTCATTCTTCATGAAGATCACAACTGTGAAGAAAGAAAATATTTTGAAATAAATATATTAAAAAGACAAAGGGGAAGTCACCTGAAAATTACAGAAATCTAAAGGAGTATGGCAAAAAAATGAGTATTTTTTTGAAATTTTGATAGCTGAAGCATCTATACAAAAGGAATACAAAGAGCCAGGTAATAACTCAACTATTTCTGCAGTTGATGGCAATCTATTGGAACTAGGAATATGATGTATGCTCTG